AAGCTCTTGCATACTTTAGTCTCTAGATGGCTTTGAATACCCCTAATATGTCAGAGCTTTGTAAACAGCTATGCAAATTCTATGTAAACAGCAGCCCTACAGTATTGTCTAGGCAATAATGGCAAGATACCAAAGCCTGTACTTGGTGAGCTAAGCCATGGCTTCCCAGGCACTTCTGATGCCTACTTGGCTGAATCTGCAGGTACAGAGACCAGCAGATGTGGACAGCCAGCTGTCTACCACAGTGTTCATTGCTGAGGACACAATTTGCACCCTTGATTGCGTAGGTGTTTTCAACATGGATGAGAAGGGCTCCACCTATGGCACAGGAAAGGTTAACCTTCCCTGTGCAAGGACCCACCAGTTCCCAGTGATTTATTTTCTGCCTGAACGCCAGCTGCCTTTGCTGTATACACAAGCCCCCTGCCCGCCTTTCTACAGCCTCCCAGCAACAGCAGCACCCTCCCACTGGAGCCTTCGAACAGCAGCAGCCCTGTTTGCTTGTGCAGTAAAAAGTGCCTCTGCCTCCACACCACCATCGGCAAATACGGTTCAGTATTTGCCAAGGAGTAAGAGGGCTCTGTTAGGAACAATTGCTGGGTATGCTTAAGTTAACCCAAAAGGGAGAAAAGCAAAGTTCAGAGGAATTACACCACCGGTCCTTTTTCCACCCCTTCACCCCACCCCCACCCCGAATTTTAGGAATGTTATCTCTGCACATCTAGTTATCCAATAAGTTAGAAGAATGCAGTAAACCCAGCAGGGGTCTTAGATTCACTCACTGCCAAATGGAGAGAAAATACTCTCACCATTGTATAAAGGGAAGGTAATCTGCCAGAGGCCAAACTCTGGAAACACTAAAACGCTTAAAAAACTAAAACCTGTATATCTTGATAAAAGCATTAGGACTCAGGCTTATCTGTTCTCATTCCTATATTAAAGGAATGACAATGAGCAGATTATCTACAGCACACAATATCTCCTCCCCTCCCCCACCCCGGGATAAGTACTAAGCAAAACAAAAGGAAATTATGTCCCCAAGTAATGAGGCAGTTGAAAGTGCCTTTTTAAAAAAAGTTTGGTAAACACTTCAGTATCAAGTCCTTTTTAACTGAACTTATAGATGGCAAATTAGACCTGAAATAAGTTTCTACTTAATTAAGATCTAAAACAAAAAAAAAAAAAAAAAGGAAGTTTCAAACAGTCTCGGATCAAAGTTCAGGAGCCCTGTGGAAAAGGTTTTGAGAAAGGATCACACAGAGCTGCTGAGGTGGGTCATCTCCCTCTGCCATCAAGATTATAGAGCTGTGTCCCCATTTTGCCTCCCTTGGAGCCATTCTTTAAGGAAATCTGCAAACTCCATGAGGGCAGGAGTTTTTATTCCCTCCTTCTGCAGAACCCCCGGAACAAAGCCTGGCACAGACTTGGTTAAAAAAAGAAAGACAGTACTGGTCAGGAGTGCTGTAGCTCTTGTCCAGATTTTCAGGCTTTTAAACACATTTACGTGTTTTTAAAAGTAAATCAAAGTGCAATCAGAAGTGTTAAAATAATTTCTTGAATTTTCCATTTTTCCAGGGTTGAATAACCCAGAGAAACCAAATGCAAACACTGGTTTCGCTCCAGCTTGCTTCATGTAAGTTTGCGGAAAAATTTCGGTTCAAATGTTAATAGTGTACAATTGAATTATAGAGGCATGCATGCATAGCCTTCCTCTTAGAAACCTGAGTAGTTTTGATTTCAAATTTGCTTGTGCAATTAGATTAAACCATAATGCAACAGTAACAAAAGGAAGAAAAAGAAAAATTTAAAGAGATCACCCAACCCAATGTGCTTCAAACATTAACCATGGCTTCCTCCTGTTGGGAGCATAGAAGAAAAATCCCACCCAGTAAACGGCAGCAGGGAAACCCAAGCAAACACAGCCCCTGGGATCAGAGCAGGCACCATGAGTTGCAATTTGCTCTCAATGGAATTACAACCTGAGTTCCATTGCTTGTGAGAATCCGCCATCTACAGAACTTGCAGCTCAACACCATCTTGAAACAAGTGTCCGATCACATTCCCAGTGGACAACAGACCCTCTGTGGTTGAAGTCATCTAGATAGTGTTCTTGCCAGTGCATAAAGGGAGAACCCAAAACCCCAAAACTCAAGCTATGCTTAAGGCCACACAGCTGAAATGCATACAACCAGACTGGAATGCAGACTCCCAAAAATCTAAATTTCCAGTCACCCACCGACACTTCATATTTAAAAAGAGGAAATGCTATCCCTGTCTCCCGTGTCGCAAAATGGTTCCCAATCCCCTACCTGAGGAAGCTTGCCAACCAAGCCAGGCCTCCAATGACAAAGTATCATTTACGTGTGCACTGGAGTGTGAGCGCCCTTCTTTTCGTGAGGATACATTTTTACATGCAATTTACCTTTAATGAATTTAAAAAAGGGACTGTCGGCAAATTGCAGACCCTGTTCCTTTTTGGAATCTGACGAGTTGCCCCAGAACGTTAACCATAGCCAATATAGACACGGCATTTGAAGCTAGAAACCCAGGCTAGTCAGTTACTTAAAACTAGGCGATCTTAATTGTTGCTGGTTGTAATCCAGTTTAGCACAAAGGGCATTTGAAACCCTTTTGAGGAAATGCTAATTTTCCTTTAAGGAGCGTTAGTCCCCTCCTCGACCACCTGCAGATTTTTTGATCTGCTAATTATTGCCCGGGACTGCAATCTCAAAAAGTGTGGCAAAAATAAGATCGATCCAATCCTTATTTTTAAAGTTATACCTAGCATCTATACTGAGATCGACCCCATAAATGCAAACACCCGAAATGCAACCAGTGAAAACCTACTGCGTGGAAAAAAAACTACCTTCTGTCCCAAGGCGACAACCGAGGGCTCTGCAAACACATTCTAGGATCGAGGAATTCTTTTCAAGAATTACAAAAACTTGGCAACGATATCGGGCATAGACGGCGATCGACCAGGTAACTGGCAGAAATCCCTTGGGGTGTCATCCTTGGCCCAGCCCGCCTCACTCACCAGGTGTGAGCCAGTATCTGCGCCAGGGTTCCGCCTCCCAGCGCAGAGCTCTGCTCCAGAATGGGCCTCCAGGGGGCGCGCGCGCGCAACCCGCCCGGCTGGTGTGCGCCAAGCGCGGGGATCAATAGCGAACTCCCCTCCAGAACCGCGGTAGAAGCGCACAGCCAGGCCCCGGAGCCCAGCCCCGCTCAGGTTTAACTCAAAGTCAGCCACCGTAAACTTCGGGGTCCTTCTGAAATAGTCTCCCCCTAAAGGTGCCAACCACCACTAAAAGCCTCACTCGTGTGCGCCCACCCAAAATGAAGGGTGAAGGGGGAGGTCAGCGCAGGACCAGGGGAGGGGTCAGGGCCAGGAGCTTGCCCCTCCTCTCCGGAGGAAGCAGGCGGGCTGAGGGTTAACCCTTTTGTTCCAGGTGGGCCGGGCGACGCAGCCTCTCCCCGCTCCCCCCAACCCTCAGCCAACGCACAAAAAAGCGTGCATCCAGGGTGCCGAGACTTCCAAAGTGTTCTGTCCTGTCCAACCGATGCATCAAAGACGCACAGCTGACCCCGGGCCAAACCAGTATTTTTCATTTGCCCTGGAAAAATGTTGGAGAAGGGACATTTTATTTAGCTATTATAAAATGGGGAAATTACATTCTTTACCCAACAAAAACGGGGAGGGTCGGGAGCTAAGAAGTAGCAACCGTCTTCCCAGGAAAGTGGGGCGTCGGAGTCGGGTTCCGAGTGTCCGGGATTAGTACGCAGTGCTTACCCACTGCTGGGGAATTAGAAAACAGGGTGGGAGGGGAGAGGAGCGATGAAGGCCGCTGGAGGCGGCCAAAAAAAAAAAAAAAAGTGCCCCTCCCCCCACGCATACGCTGAAAATTTATCAGGCGACAATTTGGCGGGCCGGAGGAGAGATAGTGGGAAATGGACTTACTCCCAATTGATCAAGTCGGAGGAGAGTTGGGCCCCGGCTCCCGGCCGTGCTGGGGTCCCGAACTCCTCTCGCCCGGGGAGGCACTGCCGCGGAAGCGTGGGCCGGGTCAGCCCCAGGAGCTCGCCCTGGCCCGACCTCTCCCCTTTCACCTCCCGAGCGCGCATTTGGAGAGCCAGGGACCCCAGGAAAAAAACACGCAAAAAGCAAAGCGGGTGCACTTCGGCGGGATGGCAGCGCGCCCACTACCCCGGCCTCCGGGGGTAGGTAGCACCCTCTGGCTGGCCGCGGTTATTTTTAGGAAGTCGGAAATCAAAGATGGCTGGAGGTCAGGCCCCGAAAGGTTAGGGCGAAGATCGGCAGGCGGCGTAACCCGGGGGAAAAGGCGAAAGCCAAAAAAGAAAAGAATTGAAAACAGAAATAAGGTGCCCTTCTCCACTAGCTCCGTGGGCGCACCAGCTCCTCCACAGCGCGGGTGGCCAGCACCCCAGCCCCTGCGGGTAGGGAGAGGTCGCGCCCCCTCCCCCACTTGGCCTGGGAGGGGCGCGTGCAACAGATCGCCCCCGGGAGGGGGGGGGTGGTCATTCAGGAGTGCGCCCCTCCTTCAGCCTCCTACAAAAGCCCCCAAGGGCTGGTGGAAAGGGTGGGGATCCCTGGGGTCTCTTTCTTTTAAAAGCGGCGCCAGAGAGGGAGGGGGAGCCTAAGTTGGGGGGGGCTGCTAGTGAGGGAGTGGAACCAATTAAGTCGCTGAGGACAAGAGAGACCCTTTTAGAAGTGAGGGAGCCAGAGTGGGGGGTCAGCTTTACAATAAGAGGGGAGAGAGTGGGGGTGAAACTTACACAAGAGCGAAGAAAAAAAAAGTGTAAAATCTGCAAGGGCGGGGGAAGTGAAGCTGCCTCTCTACCCCGAGGGGCCCGGAGTCCCCACACCTTGGTTCCAGAATCAGCGCTGGGCGCCTCGGCTCCCCGCAACCCGCGCCCTCGAGGGTCCCGCGGACGTCCAGGAAACTCCCTCCCCGGCGGGCGGGCGCCCCGGCCGCACTCACCGCGCTCCCCCGCCGCCGGCGCCGCTGGGGCCGCATCTGCAGGCTCTGGGGTCGGCTGCTGCGGCGGCTGCTCGCCCTGGTCCTCCTCCGAGTTGATGTGCTGGGGTTTCGCCTGTTTGCGCCTCGACATGGTGCGAGCATCGGGGCGCCGGGAGAGCCGCGTTTATTTGCCCTCTCCGCCACAAATTCCTGGAGTTGGGAAATTTACCCCCCTTCGGCCGGAACGCGCATGTCCCAGTAATTATTATTATCAATAATGCATTGCGATTTATCATGAGCCCTGACAGCTGATTGGCCTGGGTCCAAGACCTCAGAGATCATTTAAATAAACCCTCATTGATCAGGGAGGGGCGAGGCATTCTGGGCTTTGTAGTCCGGTCCTACATGTGACAAAGGCGTGTTCATCAGGGCAGAGCAGCTAATTAGCATCCGGGCTCAGATTGGCTGGGGCGCGCACGAAATCAGAGGGGGATCCATCCTCACTGCGACTATCCAAGACCTTAGAGGGGAAGAGAAAAAGCGGGGGGTGTGTACTTGCAAAAAACTAGGGGCGTGCATAAAAGTTTTGGAACGGGTTGTGTTTGGTCGTGTGCTCTAAAAATTACTTTTGTAATTGTGACGTTGATAACGGCCAGCTGAGAAGGCAGGTTTTCTCACAGTGGAATATTTTGGCTTAATTTTTACATCTAAAACCAACCAACAAAACCTGAGATGAGACCTCTGTTCCCTTCCATCTTCTTTTTGGTGGGGATGCTTGAGTCTCCTGATCACTGCAAAGTGGTGAACGGTGATTGATTCATCCTTCCATCTCAACTCAGAAGTGGCCTGTGAATTCATCCAGTTTCACACTGGCCCTTGCCTCCTTTAAATGCTGAATAATAGCCCCCAGGATTCATATTCACAAGAATTGATTGGTCCGTGGGTACAATGTGAACTTTGAAATGACTGATTACCAAATACAGAAAAAGCAGAGTTGGAGATAATATCAAAACAGCGAGCAATTGCATTTTTCCCTCATGAGCCATGAATGATAACGTATTTTATTACTCACACAGTGCTCTTACCTCTCCCTGGAAGATGGGCACTGTCAGTAACTGTGTTTCTAATCATTGTTGGCTTTTTTTTTTTTTGCAATACACTTTATTACGGAAAAGATACATAGATCAACGTGATTGTATCATCCTGACCTGGGGATGCCTGGAATTTTCTAAAGGGGTGTGTGTGTGTGTGTGTGTGTCCAAGTGATACATTTACATCATAAATGTATACAAATTTAATATGGCTAAGTACCTTGCAGGATGTAAATTCTCAGGAAGCGGTAAACGAAGGGTGAAGTCTTCAGTCTTAGTCTTTGGCGTCTCCACGATGATCTTTGTTGACTTTTATTTCATTGTAAGGGACTGTGCAAATATAAACCCTTCCTCCACATTTGTGCATTGCATTTTCTTGATGATCCCTCAAGTTCCCAGATTGGAAAAGTTGCTCATAAGCTCATCAGGAATTCAAACACCATTGGATGCTGGCCTCATTAGCGTGTTCACCTGGGTGTGTGGACAACCCAAAGGCAAAAAATAAGCCAACTTGAGCGTGTTTTTCATATTGGAGGCTAGCAACCAAAACGCACCAAGGTAAAGAGGAATAGCTCTCTGGCTTCCGATGTGGGGGGGGGGAATTTAAAAATAAAAATATATAGAAGAAAGGGTAGATTTTTTTTTTTAATTCACTGCTTGAAAATATTTTGCGTACATTGTCTAAAGCAAGTAAGATACACCTATAGCTAGCAGCGGAATGGAAAGGTAGGAATTTTAATAATATATAGAAGCAGCTTAGAATTCTAAGATTGAGTAAAAAGGCCAATTAACACCTGCCCTGCTGACTAATCTTCTGATATTCCCAACACCTTTTCTGTGTAAGGTAGTGTGGCAGGCGCTATAACTTAAAATTTCAATGAATGTGCAGTTGGAGTCAGGAAAACGTCATTTAATGAAGTTGTATTTACTTATTTTAGGAGCTGATAGTTAAAACATGTTAGCCGTTTCTGCTTTAGAACAAGATGGTGTAATTTTACCACTTGAATCCCTAAGGGGTAATAATAATTCTGGTAGGTAGAGCCAGGAGCATCTCAAGTTTGAGGCCAGGCTGAGCTACATAGTGAAATCCTGTCTAAACTATCAACATGAGTAAAGACTTGGTTGCACCCCTGCTCAGTGCCTCAGGCCACATAAAATGCACACTGTCTTTTTCTGTTCAGAAGGAGGTGAACTCCATTGTTTTCTCCACTTCAAAAATGAATAAACAGAGCTGGCTGCCAGAGGCTCACGCCTATAATCCTAGTTACTTAGGAGGCTTCAGGATCATGGTTTGAGTCCAGCCCAGGAAAATAGTTCAAGAGAATCCATCTCCAAAATAAAGAGAACAAAAAAATGGACTGGAGGTGTAGCTAAGTGGTAGAGCTTGTGCTTTGCAAGAGCAAAGCCCTGAATTCAAACCTAAGTCCCACCAAAAAAAGAAAATTAAGAAACTGGCTCAAAGCCATGAAGAAACTTAATTCATAAGGAAATAGGTAGGTGTGATGGTCATTTCCTAAGCTGACTCCACCATTCTTTCTATCACGTTTCAGCACTTGCTATCTGTGAGACAGGAATTTATGCTCAATTAAAACTATCCTGGAAAAATGTAAGATCTGTGGAAATCACTCCAACAAATGTTGAGAAGTTTCCCTCCAATGAAAACCTCCCATGGGGAATGTCATTTCAAAAAGAAAAAGGAGGACATAAGCTGGGGTGGTGGCACACATCTAAAATCCCAGTACTTAGGAGACTGAGGCAGGAGAATCATGAGTTCAAGACCAGCCTGGGCTACACAGCAGCACCCTGTTTAACCACAACTATAACAACAGCAGAGGACATAGCACAAACTGGGTGCCAGTAGTTCCCACCTGTAATCTTAGCTACTCAAGAGGCAGAGATCAGGAGGAGGATCATGGTTCAAAGCCATCCCTGACAAACAGTTCTCAAGACCCTATCTCGAAAATAATCCTTTACAAAAAAGGGCTGGTGGAGTGGCTCAAGGTGTAGGCCCTGAGTTCAAACCCCAGTTACCCAGCACATACTCTGCAGCCCCCTCCATCTCAAGAGCTACAGATTAGAACTTGTACACAGAAAATAAACTAAAGCTTTGAGCCATCTGGAAAGGTGGGTGGGGTGTGGGAGTCCCTAATCACAAGTTATTGTGTCAGTACTTGGAAATCCTTAAGCAACCAAAAGACAGACCTGGGTGGGACCAGATTTAGAAAAGAAAAAATGATCAGAGTAAAGGATGATATCAAACTTTTTTAAAAGTTAATGTCTTTTGTTTGCTTTTAAAAGTCTAATGTGCAGGACGTGATGGGCATGCCTATAACCTGGCACGTGGGAGGCTGAGGCAGCAGGACCCTGACTTAAGCCCATTCTGGGCTACATATAGACAGAGCAAGACTCTGTCTCAGAAAACCAAAGAGCAAAACCAAAACCAAAAAAATCTCACTGACTTCAATGCTTGTTCCAGGCAGGAATTTTCTTGGTGTACTTTTCAGCAGTCTGTGAATGATGAGGTTTTTGTGTTCGGGAAGAGATTAGGGGTGCACAGTCCCATCTCATTGCCCCATGCATGCTGAACTAAGAATTCAGAGATTTCTAGTCCAAGTGTGGGAGTCTTGGGGAAGGCAGGCCTCTCTCCACTGAACTCCACCTCTGTTCCCTTCTGCAGGGAACCTTATTCCCTCCACTCTTCTCTCCACCTGGTCCAGCTCCTACCAAAGCCTCCAGTCTTCTTCTGGAGCCCTCTGAAACCAGCCTTCTTCATCCAAATGAGGTGTCACTTATTAATGTCAAGCTGCTAGGCCCTAGTTGTTTCCTTTCTAGTATAGTTCAAAATTCATGACAGATTGAGTTCTAGACAGATGGCCACTGATATGGTAAGCACTCAGGAGAGGCCATACTGGGAATTTGGAGTTTTGGTCCCTTCCCAGGGGAGCTCCTAGGCAGCCTCAGGATGGAGAGTGTGAACTAGATACTATGTGGCAGTGTGTTCTGGATATTTTGTTTTCATATCCAGTCATGTCTAGAAAACACCCCTGTGTGTTTCCTGCTGCTGCTGAGTTAAGTGCATTAAGTGCTGAGTAAGATATTTTCAATATGCCATGGGTTTTTTTAGTTGTAACCCCATTTTAAGTGCAGGAACCGGTATACCCATTTATTGCTCCTCTCACACTGCAGCCCCCATCAGAGCAGTCATTGTGACCACCATGTCCCAGGCACTTAGCCACAGTCATGGAACACAGAAGTGACAATAAGGCATCAATGGTGTATGACTTTGGGGGCTTGAACATAAGATGTCAAGGGCAATGGTGGGTGGGAATGGAATTGGCCCAGCTGTGACAGAAAACAATATGGCGGCTCTTCAAAATTGAAAATAGAGCTGGGTGCCTGTAGCTTATGCCTGTAATCCTAGCTACTCAGCAGGATCAAGGTTTGAGGTTCAAAGCCAGCCCAGCCCAGGCAAATAGCTCATGAGACCCTATTTCAAAAAAAAACCTTCACCAAAAAGGGCTGGTGGAAAGGCTCAAAAGGTCTGGTAGAGCGCCTGCCTAGCAAGCATGAGGCCCTGAGTGCAAACCCCATTGCTGCCAAAAAACAAAGTGTCCATCAGCAGATGAATGGATGAGAAGAGTGGTGTAGAACAGGATGGAATAGTATTCAGCCTTAAAAAGGAAGGAAATTCTTGTCCATGCTACAGTAGGAGTGAAACCTGATGTTAAGTGAAATAAGCCAGCCACTAAGGGACGAGCAACTGGTGGCTGCAGGAGTCCGCTCTTGCAAGGCTGTGGAGCAATCAAATTCCAGAGAGAAAGTGGCACAGTGATGGCCAGAGCTGGGTGGAGGGAGAAGGGGAATTGGTGGTGTGGAGGTTGAGGTTTGCAAGATGAAAAAGGACCTGGATAAAAGCAGATTGTAACTGCTTTCTTTACAGAAACAAAAGAATTTGGCAACTATGGGAGATGATAGGTATGTTGACTTGTTTCACCTTGATAACCTTTTTACAATCTATATGCATGCCGTGACGTCATGCTGTATTCCTTAAACTGCACGATAAAATGTATTTTTTAGAAAAGGG